ATATATATATATACATATATATATACATATATATATACATATATATATACATATAAATATATACATATATATATATATATATAAATACATGTATATATCGCTATAGGCCTATCTATGAAATAACAATAATAGTTCTCAAATAGGAACATGTATAAATCGTATCAAGCATAGCTTATGAACGAAAATGTATTTATTTCAACTGTATGAAAAGGGTGTTTCTGGCGGGATTCGAACCTGCATCCTCTCAATCAGTTGTATGAAGGGAGAGACTAGTAATAGTATCCTTATTAGTTAAAAGTTTTAATTTTCCTATTTTTCAACCTTGTTCAACATAATTTTCTTAGCGTTTAAAAGTTTGAATTTCCCCGAATTCAGACACATAGACCTAATTGAGTATGATCTTTTAATATGATTTAAGTTTAAAACTAGTTTTCAAGTAGGCCTAGGTCCTTATAGAACGCAAAACAACCGGAAATGGCGTGGTCAAAAAATCTTCACAAAAATATCGTGAGCTATACCCTTCGCGGTTTGTTTTTTTTTGCGATTTTTTTTTTTTTTGTTTGCGATTTTTTTTTTTTTGTGAAAATAGGGCAATTTTTACCTAGTCGGTTTTCTAGTTGCTTTTGTCAGCCTGCAGAGAATTGTTGTGATCCGTAGGTCTCAAAAGTACACACAACAACCGGATTTAAAATTAATTTTGATGTCCTCAGAACTTGACTATAAGCCTTAATTGGATAGGTCTACCTACCGTAAAACCTCGAATTGAAGCCCTGGGCTGCTTCTTCTTCTTCTTCTTCTTCTTCTTCTTTTTTTTTTTTTTTTTTTTTCGAACTTTGGATGGGTTTCTTTTCGAGGTGGGCTTTTTTCAAAATGGGCTTTTTTCGAAGTAAAGCCGGGGGCTTCTTAAAAAAACCCCTGTAAATATTGACAATTACTGTACTATGCTATAAAACAATAAAATAGGGCCACTGTAATATCTATCTGTATCATAGAGTGTATTAACCGGCATTAAATCACCTAAACTACTGTATAAACTAAGCGTGTTTTTATTTATTTGGTTTCTTTGAAATTCATGTACAGTGTATGCACTGAACTATCTAGAGAAAAAGCCCATGGGCTACTTTTCGAGGCTACTTTTGCAACTAAAGAGGGGGCTTCAATTCGAGATGGGCTTCTTCTCGAGATTAAGCCCTTTGAGCTTTTATGGTATTAATGTTATTTCTTTTAATCTTTTATGATGTAAATGATTTTACAATGGTATTAATATTATGTATTTTATGTAAATACTAGACTTGAATGAGCTATGGTTACACCTTTCCTGTCCTGTCCCGTCCCTATTTTCTCTCCACTTGTCACAGCACAGCACTCTGTTATTGTTTTTCATCAACACTACCACCTATCGCATGGCCAAACTTATAACGATCAGTAATGGACGTTTCCGCTAAGCCCCGCCCCTTGGATGTTGTTGCTAAGGTTCCCAGTGTAAAAACATACGCGAACACGTGCATTTGTGGGACCATACGTGTATTTCTGAGACACGCGCCTATTCCTGGCCCTGTCCTATTGGTCAGTTGTTAGGTATGACTGACACTCCCGATCGGAAAGGTCCATTATACAGATAACTTAGGTGTCCAATAATTGTTCGTATTGAGTACAGTACTGTATATGCTGTTCAGAATTATTGTAACATTCAGTATTTTTATGTCATTCTGTATTTTTTCTGTTTAAAAAATAACAGTACCTCCTCCCCATAAACCCGCCCCTGCTACCTTCGCAGCAATGACGCGAGTGAATTGGCTTCTTTTTTGACTCGCAGTAAGTAGCAATCGGCAGTAGCATTATTTCTTCTGTACTACATGTTCTGTACATTGTGTACTGTATTATCAAAATATGAATAATAAATAACAGGGGCGGATCTAGGTTCACATTGGGTGGGGGTCAAACTTTTTTTTTTTAAAGTTCTTAGATGGCGGGAAATAAGTTTTCCCCCTTTTAATCAAAATTCAAGGTTTTCCCCTTTTGTAAATGGTCAGGTATTTTTTTCTCATTCTTATCTTATTAAAGCAAATAGGCCTGTGTGTACCAGAACACAGAGAATTTTTTTTTTCCAAGGGGGGGGGGTCAGGACCCCCTGACACCCCCCCCCCCAACACTCAGATCCGCCAATGAATAATAATGCCACTTTCAAGTGTTGTGATTTCCTAAATGGGCATGGTTTGTCTGCGTCTGTTATGACTGATTCAAGATTTAAGATTCATTAAACCTGCACATAATAACAGGAGGAAACCCCACGCTGTTTACACTTTCAGTTGGAATTATGAATTGGTACAAACATTCATTAATGGCATGAGAATTTTTTTTTTTATCACTGGAAACTGGACTGTATAATAATGTTCAAACTTTGACATTTTCTTCAAAATTCTTTTTAATCAAAATGAGTTTCTGGAGTGATGGACCAACATAAGCTGTAAGGGATGGTTTGCTCTGCATCAGAAACACACATTACAGACAGCTGGTCTACAAGTATTTTTGTTTCTTTTTGATTTCTACAATTAAACCCTAAATCTTAACTACAATTCTCTTTTTAAAATTTTTTACAATTCTTGCAATGTTTCACAACATACCGTGTTCGCATCTCTCACGTGATGAATCAAAATAACAATGATAAAATAATATTTTCTAAAAATGAACATGATTGGCCCACTAGACTGCAGCAAAGAACTTTCAACCAATAATAAAGAGTGTTTAACAGTCCGGAATGTGAGGTAGATTCAAATAGTTCTCATTACACCATTTCAATATAAAATCCTACTATTAAATGAGACTGCATATGGGCTAGAGACAAAATAACATTTCTATTATAACATCTGTACCAGAGTCATAAACTAACATCATTAATATTACAGTTTGCCTACTGAAAATAATTGATGAATTCTCTTTAACTTTAGTTGATTGTTATGGATCTGTGCCGGGGCATACCAGCGACCAGGAAGCTAAAATTATTCTCCAACATCTAAATTATAAAAAAAACTACAGTATATTCTGAATTCATATATCATTTATCTAAAGTAAATTCAGTTGGCACTAAAGTGGTCTTGTAAATATTCCAGCCCACTGGGTCTTTCAACTGCATTAGAAAAAAAACCAAAAACCACCAATCTACCAATTATATAGTTAAATTCTTCCCATTAAAATACATTCTATTAACCACTCAAAGAATATTCTATCCTTGAGCCAGTAATGGCAGCAATTATCTCAAATAAATATAATAAATCTATTAAAACTTTGAGTAAAACATTGGTTTAAAACCTTCCTTTCTTTATACAAACTTTTGTTACGCTGCCATTTCATTGATAATTTGATAGACTTTCTTCCATATAAAACTGTGTATTGCACTGAAAAATATTCAAATTGTACAGGCTCCAAGCAATGCAAACTCTGCCAATAGGATTATCATGTATAATTTCTATGACACAAACTTTACAGTGTTAAAATGATCAAGTTCAATATACGTTATCAAGGGAAAATTAAACAAAAGTAGAAAAAAAAAAAAATATTATGTTTAACATCCAAACTCAATCTAATTGAGGGGTTTATTTTTTATCTTCCCCTGGAAAATCAATTTCATAAGGCACATTATATAACTGGGTATTATATGTATTCCAGTACAATATATAGGCCTAATGTAATATAATACAAATCTTGATGTAAGTATGTAACTACAGCGTTTTAGGAGGGGTCTCCATTACACTATAAGTCTACATTAGTGGAATAAATTAAAGGTGACTAATATTTTTACGGTAACTGTAATTTTGTTTTATTCATACATCATGTGTAGATGGTATAGGAGTTTGATGTAAACATTTGGTCAGATTTTGTAAAAAAAAAAAAAAAAAAAAAAAATCTTAAATCTTAAGGACTATCAAAGATCAAGAGTAAAGACTTGATATAAATTCTACACACAAGAAATTTATACACAAACCAAAACAAATATCAAACTAATACCTGCCAAAATTTGGCAATGTTCAAATGTTATGCAACTTGGAATATGTTATGCAATTTGTACAAAGTTGATTAATCGTCTGCATATGCAAATCAGAAACAAACATGGAACGTTATTTTTATGTTTACACATAAATTCATCTAGAAATAATATAACACAAACATTAAATAAAAAAATAAACGAATACATTTCCCCCTTAGAAAAACACTTCTTTATACTATTATTGAATCCTTAATCAAAATAATGAAAAAAAATTATCTGTTTTTGGTAATGTCTCGAATACTGAGTCCCTGGAATTCAGTATGAAATATCTTGGAAAAAATTTGAATTATTGACATATTTGAAATAGGTATTGTCTGGAAAAAAATAATAACAAACATACAGTTGCCTAGAAACTTGAATAATTAATAAGCTGATACATCTTAAACTCTCTATCAAAATTGTCATCACGTGAAAGATGCAAACCAAAGCAAGTACCTTCCTGAAATCAATACTCAACCATCATAACAAGCTAAATCAAGCCACAGTTCATATATTCATTATGAACTTTATCCTCTTTAAACATCACCTTTAACTTCTTGATACGTCACTTCCAACTAACATCGATACAGACCTTCAAGCTTCACATTTAAAAAAAAGATTCAAACTCAAGATTGACCTTACGCTACGAAAGTGTTGCTCTAAAACTAAGGTTTGCCTTAATTTACCTTAACTACATGCAAAACACGACACAGATAAACACGGAAATGCAAGCTATTCTAACTTTTGCAGCACAATTTACAGCAACGAATTCACAATCCCCTTCCCACACTGCACCAGGTACCACTTTATACCTTGTGTTTTGATAGAGGAAAAAAATTTCCAGGAGTTGAACACTGACAAACAACACAACTAAAGGCAATGGTAATGGAAGAACATGAAGTAGAAACGTATCAAAGAAATAAAATCATCATCATCATCATATCTACATACCTGCCAACCTGCTCAAAACAAGTACCTTTTTCTATACTTTTTGACATCCATCAGCTCACCTCTGGATTTCAATATCTAATTTGCATATCATTTTCAGCAGGTGGTTTTCACATGTAACTTACAACCTAATCTATTGAATTAAACTACAAAACATCTACAACAAAAAAACTTGCAATAAAGAACGAAATCACTTGATTGAATTTTAGCAGATGATTTTGTTCGTTATTTGTTTAAACTTCACCTTAATTTACATTTCTTATAACCCCGTAGTTATTGTGAGACCCTTTCTCAATGTTGAGAAGAGTCGATGTGTTTAGTCCCTGATTAAAAATCGCAACCGGTCATTATAAAACTTGCAATACATTCACTCACAAACCTGTTTTCCTTTCATCCTTACAAAGAGAGAAATAGATTAACTATATAATATTGCCTATCGTCATTTGGTTGCCAGGTATTCGTACATTTGATCGATTTACGATTATACTTCTCGTAGCTGAAGGATGAAAGGTAGACAGGATGAAACTCTTAACAAGATCTTCAATGAAAAACAATCCTAATGATAAATTCTGTCCATTCTGTTTCCTTTCAACAAATTTTGATAGTGTTCATACATATATCAAATTACCACTAACTGTGAGGTAACACCGAAAGATATGTAGATTCAGATTGGTACTTTCAACCTTTCAACTACGACCTTTCAACCATTCATTTGTTGCATAGATAGTGTAGCACCTGTATAGTGTACACATTATTCACACCTCTATTGCCTTCCAAACATTCCTCCTGTAAAAATAACCAGTTACACCGATATTTTAATTTTCACCTCGTTTCATGGAATACACTTTTGACACTATACTTACACAGAAGAAGCACAAGACAAGCATTCTTTACGAGGCAAGATATAGGTGCATCAATTTGATGGTAGATCATCATCATTTTTTATACTACATTTGGACACCATATTTTTGTGCTTTGCATTTGCATACTATCAAATAGTATCCAAACATAAATTGTGCTAAGAAGTGGTTATAATCAGATGTGGATCCATGGATTTAAAAAACCTGTGGAGCATAGCCAGTTTTGGAAACTAACCTAGCAAAGGAAATTTGCAATTGCGGTAGTAACATCATCAGAGATAAAAATGCTCAAGCCGAATATATGAATCCGGCAGTGTTATCAGTAACACATGGAATACATGCAAAGAAAAAAATATCCGTCTGATAACTAGTATATTCAGTAGTAATGTTGAAGCAAATAGAAACCCATCAAATCAATCATTTATGAATCTAAAGCCCTGTTTGCACTACCAAATTATATTTGATAAAACATGTGACATGCCTAATATGGACATGATGACATCACATCATGACTATATATGGGCATACAACAGTTTTTTTGTCAAAGAAAATTTGATAGTCTTGACAGAGATTTAGAACAACATTAAAATCCCTTCTATCTTTCATTTATAAAACAAGTTTTTTTGAGAGGTGTTAAAAACACTAACAATCAGATTCAAGAAGGTGCTAAATTTGGTTTAAGAATGATAAAAAATTTAATTTTACCACAGCATCAATCATTTACTGATCCAGCATACAACAGCAATAGCAATTCCAGTGGGGATTTTTTTTAAACCTCTAAAATCTAACCAACATATAACATTTGACAATTTTCCACCCAACAAAATTACGAGCCAAATCACATCTGTTTAAAATTCTAGGACCAATTCTACAATAATTTGTTAAAAACCTATCTAACATTTAGATTAGCAAATTCTTTAAATTCATTTTTTTTTTGTTTGTTAGTGCTCTTGAAACATACACCTCCCAAAGAACAAATAACAGTCAACATTCTTTACCTTCTCTCCAGCTGAAAATGTAAAAATTTTTGCAGTATTTTTACTGCATATTCTTTGAATCTTTGAAAAAGCTGAGTGCTGTGAGAAATTCCAATTCAATTTAAAATCATCTCTAATCTACAGGACAGCAAGTATTACTTACACATAAAACCTGAAAGATTCTAATTTACAAACAAAAGTACATATCTACGATCTACTTGAAGACAATGCTTTGCAAAGATAAATTGTAATTTCTTTCTTTCTTTGTGATTTTCGCTATATGCATTTGACAACTCAATAGCATTTAACCCTTTGCTTGAGTTAATGATTGTTTACCACAATACATAATATGGGAAACAGTGGCACACCTAGAAGTATTCAACGTAAGCAGGGGGGTGGGAGGGGCGCTGAAGTGGGCCTGATGTGGAGTAAAGTGCTAGCGCCCTCATGCACCTCCCACCCCTTCCAGATGTGCCACTGGGAATATAGAAATCTGCTAAGGCAAATTTTGAACTTATTCTATTGTAGTTCGGGTTTTATGGCCTTGGTGTAGCAGCAATGGTAACTGTTGCCTTTTTTTTTTTCAATATATCTACCACAAAATACTTAGGACACTACTGATCTGAATTTACATGAAAGCTAATGAAAAATCCCCACAAAGTTTTTCAAGCAATTATTTATAAACCATACCGAATGGATTCCATTTATTACCCATAATGCACTGTGGTAAACAATTTACAATGTAATAATCTTCGGGGCCATTGTTTGACTTATTATTAACTGCTTACACTTGGAAGATAAACATCTTACGACAATCGCAGCAAGCAGAAATGTCAACAGTGACTCTTCCAATCCCCATCCAATTCTCTACTACAGTTACCAATTTGTAATTTTTTTTTTTTTGTACAATTATATACAATGGAGGTACACACAAAAAGCAATAAAACAATTCTATCCTTCTACAACACAGAGCTTCCATGGGGCATCCAGGGAGCTTTGGCTACAGGCTTTCTTCGGCACTTGAATACAATTGCATTCGTTTTGTTTTGATTATCGTCATCGAAGAGGAAAAAGGTGAAAGATGATGAGATAATTGATGAGCGTGCAGGTGATCCTTCACCATCTTGTCAAGCTCATACCTCTCTGAACTTTGTCTGCATTGCTATTTTGCTCCACACACCTTTGTAAAAAAAAATCATCTTACTATTAATTCTTCAAAATTATTTCACTAAAAACATATTACTGTACTGAATACATAACAAACATGTATAAAAGGACATGGTAAAAGGAACTCCAAAATAGTAAACCAAATCCATAATAAAATACTAATATATTTATAGATATATATGAGATTGATCGAAAATCTTAATAATCCACTTACATGTTATTTGTTTAGCTTTATTGTTTTAATTAATTTATAAATTACTTGTATATTTGTTTTCAATTAATTTCAATTTATTAATCTATGCATTTAATGGTTATTTGGCTTTAATTGTTTTGATTGCGTATTATGTATGCACTGCCTTTTTATGCATTATCTATGCATGTAATGGCTGATTATAAATGAAATAATTTGCTTTTGATAAAACAATTATATATTTATATTTCTAGTGCAATTCTAATTTTTTACCTATTTTATGTAATTTGTTTAATGTGTTTTTGTATTTTGTATGCCAAATGAATCAGGAATTTCCAACATGTTATGATGTACAATAAAGTGTTTATCTTATGTTATACCTGTTTACTCTTTACTTGGCTTGCTGGGCAGCTGTGTAATACTGCTGAGCTTCATCTACTGGTAGCTGTCCACTAGCATCCTGGGAAATATAATTATGTAACATGGATGAATTAATAAGAATGACATCCCCAAGTATAAACACATTTTCAATCTATAATACCTGTGCATTTGCATCATTTATATTAAGTACACACAGACCTTCCAACCAATGACAATCTTGAATAAAAGACCACCTTTTGTGCCCCTGGATAAATAACTGTAACATATTTTTTCTAGAGATGAAAAAAGCCCCCAAAAAACCAAACCTAAGAAACCCCCACCCCCCACCCAAAAAAAAAACAAAAAAAAAAACCAAAAAAAAAAAACAACCCAGGTCCCAACAGTGGTATTTATAAAGGAAGACCTGTAGTACATTACAATTATCATTGATGTCATCTTTGTTAATTTTGTTATATTGCTGTCAGCATCATAATTATTATCATCCTCATAAACACCATCCTCTTTGCTTCCAAATACTAAGATCATCAACTCTGTCATCTTCTGTGACTGACCCATGTATCAGGACAAAAACAAGTGTGGCTTGCTGCAGACTCGCTGTATTACTACTACACCACATTCTTCCAATGTATCTGGATACTCCCTCTATTAAGATGAGTTATTATTCACTTGAAAACTTACCTCAACAGTTAATGGCTGAAGAACCTGAGAGTAGCCGTGTGGGTATTGAGCTTGTAAATACTACAACAAGAAAAAAAAATCAATGTTAAGAGAACATATCCATCTTTACATCAACCTAGTTACAAATATACTAAGAATATTAAGTTCCAAATCTACAACACTTGTTGATTAATAAAGGAAAACCCATCAATATTTATCATCTTTGGATATCACTACTGTACTGTTAAATATAAAAAATATTAATACATTTATGAAATTTGTCATACCATTCTGCTTTTGACATTTCTAACAAGCACGGTAGGAATAACTTGGCTTTATTACATTCTAAATACAATTTCACAAAATTCCTACTCGATCACTGACACTGTTGTGAGCACTTTCATGAATAACATGTGTAATAAGCATGTGATTGATATATGCAATAGGCTGCCAAACCTTCATCACTATAGCTTAAAATATCTAATCAGAGTTTTGAATGTTGCTCACTATCGCAGACTAATTTTTGACTCTGCCATATGTAACCATTTGTTTTTACGCAAGTATGCTTTTAAAACCTTTCAGTGGTGTGAGTGAATAGGAAAATTTGAAACAGGAGAATAAAAATACTGCTACGTTACAGAATCACAGGAAATATGTATTTCTTTACGCATTTTTTGTTACCTGCTTGTAGGCAGGCTAAATAAATGGACAATTATAATTAATTCCTTACAACACGTGCACATACAACACACATACAGTTATCATACTGTTCATGCAAACCCACATACACAAGGACAAACACTAACCCACAAGCATACAAAATCATACCCAACCTAAATAGATCCACTACAGTTTAATATTTGTAATTTGGTAAAAGTATTCGATCAATTTCAACCTTGTTAATCTTGAATCATTTATTCTGACATGCCACGCATTTCAATCAGCTTCTTCGTATTTGATCTCCTTCATTGAATGCGCTTAATATCACGGCAAATTTAGAACCTACTTTCCAAATTACATGTCACAATAAACCTCCTATTTTTTCTCATTCCCACTCTCGTTCTATCCCTGGAATAATAATACCTCGTTAGCATTTATATTTTGGATGGCAAGTAATAACTATTCTGGGGGTTGGCAAGAACTGATATTAATTTTATTTTCAAAATTTGATCTACATTTTAATGAATTTTGCATTTGGATTTGGCATATTACTGTATTTACAATAACAAATCTAGAATTCATAATCCTGTTGTGTCAGTATTCAAAAATAAAATTTGTAAAATTAAGAATATTTTTTTCTTTACTCTAATGATACACAATTCTCATTTGGCAGACCATCATCAAAATAGCATCTCCAGTTCACTATCATCAGCATATCATTATAAGTTGTAACATCATCAGAAAACAATCACTTGTTAGCCATTACCAGTATCCATTATCAGTCGTCCCTATAATATACCTACCTTCACATTACCAGAATACCATTATCGGTATATACCTACTTTCACCATCAACAGTATATCATCATAGTATACCATCCCCAGTGCATGCTAGCATCATCAGCATTGGCATATCAACTAATTGTTGTACTAGACCTTTAATATTGCTGTTATTTTTGTACAAAATCCAAAAATGGAGGAATGAAATGTGCACATTACACAGAAATGAGAACTTACAGTGCCAGCAAGCTGTATCTGTCCCATGTGTGCGACATTTGGTACAATGCTCTGTTGCTGAAGAGGAAGATTAGCGGTGGGGTCAAGAGCTTGGGTCATCTAAAAACAGAAAAGGACGAAAATTAATAATTTGTTTAGAGCAGTATCCACAATCCACAGTCCTCTTAAATATTTTGGACAATACCTTGTTTTAAATTGCTAAAGCTTTCAAAAGGAATTACTAGAAGTGCTGGCCTTTTTTTTTAAAGGAAAATTTGTGTTGTGAGTAGTGGGTTGTAACATGGAGGTATAAATGTTGTAACATCAAGTTTTTACATCATAACTAATAGCTTTCGAATTTATCAGAAATATTTTGTACTGCACATTGAACACGAAATTGCAGCCCCACTTACCGGAACAGGTTGTTGGACCATATATTGTGAATGTACATACGGCACGCCATGGACGTAAGGTACAGGGTGGTTTCCGTATGGATTCGGAATAAGTGTTGGTGTCATAACTCGGCTGAAAAAAAAATCCCAACAAATGAATCTGAAAATGTCATGCACGTATAAATGCTGTATCTACTAGGAAACAAACCTATTTCATCCATGATGGACATTCAGATGAATGCTTAGACCTGTTTAATATTCTCATGTTGTAAGAAAATATATTAGTATGACCTTTATCATATCAAACATGTATAATTATGTACAGTTTATATACAAATTACACTTAACTACCGCACATCAAGCTTAACAAGCTGACCTATAATTTGCAACATGTTCATTTCGCTTCGCTGTTATAAACACCCCCCCCCCCCACCTTGTGTGATGTTTGTGTGTGTTGCTGAATTTGGGGTTGGGTCAACTGGCTTTGCTACAGTGATTTGGTTCACTTTGGTTGACCCTGGTCTTCCCAAATTTCAGGTTCTTTTTGGTCACTTTCTTTTTTTGTACATCATATTGTTCAAAAGACCAAATAAATAATGAAATGAAATGTTTATTATTTCATTTAACAGTTTGACTAACCCATTTGCAGTGTAGGCTACTGGGTCATACATCTGAACCTCTTCTACCTTCGGCCAATTAGTGGCATTGGGAGGGTGCTTGTTGAATTCTTTCCTCTTCTTTACGCCACCATCAGCAAATTTACATAGTAAAGGCTCAGTCTGTCCGGTTAAAACTTTTCCATTGAACATGTTAATTATTTCTTCACACTTTTCTTTTGATTCCATTCTGTAAAAGTGACAAAATAATAATAATATTAAGTTTATCCTAATACTTCTCTGACAATAAAAACACATGAAAGTAACTTTGGTATGGAGATACACATCCACTGGTTTCCATTAAAGATGATAACAAATATTTGAGAATGCCCCCAACGATTCGAACCCAAGACCTTCCGATTACCGTTAGGATATTCTACCAATTGAGCTATGAGGCCAAGTGGTATACACCCTCAGTTGGTGGAGTATCCAAACGGTAATATGACGGTCTTAAGTTTGAATTCCGATGGGGTCATACATTTTTCTCAAATATTTATCATCCTTAATAGAAACACATACACAAGACAACAAAATGTCCAAAACTAACTATACTATCTGTATGTATCTATCTGTTTTAAGTAAAAATTTTGACATTTTTTTGGTTCAAATCTTCAGCTGCATGGAAATATTCAAAAGGCAATAATAAAGGTTACTTTGAGTTAAACTCTATGAGGAGTATTAGTATTAGTTGTATCCGAAAGTGTTTGAGGATTGAGTATATTTTGACTCAATTAAGATCAACCTGACAAATAAATGGCAACATTAATACGTAAAAAAAAGATAAGATCTGGAAATAGATGCAGTAAAAGTGTTTAATAAGGAAATAAGAATCAAGGTGATTAACTTCATACATTTAAACATGAGAGAATCATTACTGTTACGATGCAAGTCTAGAAAAAAAGATTTGATGAACTAGGTTGAATGTTTTCATACAAGAAAAAACATCGTTAATGTATGTCGAAAAAGATATTTTAACTGACTGAAAAGTTGCCATAGATCTGTATTTACTGTTAAGTAATTATTAAGAGGGTTTATTTTTACCGCAAGACCGCAGTAAAATAATATTTATTACTTATTGAATACTTTACTGATCAGTATCAGGAGAGGGGAGAGAATGAGGAAGGGGAAAAACAGAACTTATCTACAAGTATAAAATAACTGCCAAATAGAGAAAAACATTTTATGTGCCACAAATTTCTCCAGAAATGCTCTTGTGTGATTTAGAACATTACAACATCAGTAACACATTTAACAGAATTGCACACTACTTGCATCCACACTATGCTAACCACAGCTTACCTAGCAAATCCTATACCTCGACTTTGCTTCAGTTCGTCTCTTAAAATTCTAGTACTGATAACCTGGCCATACGGTGATAACAATTTTTCTAGCTCCTTTTCATCCATATGCTTAGGAAGGTTTGTGATATACAAGTTTGTGAAGTCTTGTTCTTGTTGCTGCAAAAAAAAACAAACCAATTAAAACAATATTATACAGCTCACAATAAATTTTATATAATTGTTAATTGAAAGGTAACACCAAATGCGCGGTTTTGAACATGTGATGCCTTTATCTTGAATTGGCGGAATGGGATATGAAAAAAAACCCCCAACATGTACTTCAATGATTATTCTTTCGACACAGTATACTGGCCTCCAAAGTGGTTCAGTTACTAAATACTGTACAAAGTATCAAAGTATTAATTTAAAGTCATATTTAATTGCAAGAACATGGTATCACATTAGAAAATTACACATGGTCCTATAATACACAGTTGATGGCCAAAACAACTGACTTACATTTCGGAAGCAATACAGGAAGCAATTATTGTCTGCCAACAATTTTGTTTACATATATATAGATTGGTTATGTGATATGTAATCATAATGTTAGATTGATTACATCTATGATAATTAACAGATAATTAACTAAATATGAATTACAATGCCATTGTTTACAGTAAAATATATTGCTTACAGAGAAAATCTTGGTTTACAGTATAGCATTAAAAGCAAAGATGAGAACAAATATGCATGTATTATTTAATGTAATAAGTCTAAGGCCATTAATTGCCTACTATGGTCATGCCTGCATTATATGCATAAAGGTTTATAAAGGAACAGGGTTACAGGAAATACGGATCCCACGAGAGAAACTCTACAGAGAATCGGAGCTATTATAGCTTTAATGGAAATAACAACAGTTGCAGCAGCGTGTCTCCAGTGAGTATGAAATTGATAGATCGTTGAAATTTAGACGGTTAATATGTCTGCGATCAGTAGCGTTGACTGCTGAGGGAGTGCTTAAGTGAAAATGGGAATTGTGGAGCAATCACTAGTCATTGCCGTGATGTTAATGATGTTGTTTAGCGTGGTGACATCAAACCAACGGTCTGTATTCCTGACCGCACTAACATTAATGTTAGCTGAATGACTACTAGAACATAGTAATGATCGTAATGATACCGATGAAAACTGTCGCAGGGATGTTGATGATGCTGCAACGGACATCAACATGTTATTAACCAAGTCTTTGGTGACAGTTTTCGGAACTTAGTTTCCGATCATTGTAATAGGAGTGAGAACGGCATTGAAGTGGAGATGACATGAATATGAATCATGTCACGTAGAGATTCAAATATCGGC